GCACACACACACACACACACACACACACACACACACACACACACACACACCCCACACATGTCAGTAGTTCAAGAACTAGGAGGCAGAGGCAGAACAATCATTAAGTTCAAGGCCAGCATGGACTATTAGTGAGTTTCTACCTGAAAAACAAAATTACTAGGACAAACAGTTTGAAGTCATAGAATGACTTCATTTTTTAAGACCAGAAAGTAGATAAGGAAATGAGATTCAACTCTAGTCAACTAATGGAAAATGCTTATTGCTGAGTGGTATTTGGCAGATCTCCAGAATTCTTTCACAATACAGAGTAGGAAACCAACAAGTACTTACAAAATACACTTGTGGAGCTGGGTGCTAGTGACTCACGCCTGTAATCCTAGCTACTCAGAAGGCTGAGATCTGAGGATCATGGTTCAAAAGCCAGCCCAGCCAGAAAATCAGTGAAACTCCTCTCCAATTAACCACCAGAAAATCCAGAAGTGGCACTGTAGTTCAAGCAATAGAGCGCCAGCTTTGAGCAAAAAGAGCTCAGGGATAACACCCAGGCCCTGAGTTCACGCCCAAAGATCCACCAAAAGAAAAAAAGCAGACAAAAAAAAAGCAAACAAACAAACAAAAAACACTTGTGGATCTGAGGGGATCTCTGATCACTTTATTTTTTTTTTTTTTTTCTTTTTGCTTATGTGGTGCTGAGGAATCAAACCCAGGGCCGCAGGCATGCAAGGCAAGCACTCTACCACTGAGCCACCTTCCCAGCCCTCTGATCACTTTAATATGAACTTATGATCAGAATGCTTTGTCACCATATTAGGAAAAACAGCCTTCCTGGACCAAGAGACACTCAAGCTAGTTCCAAAACTGTCAACAATCCATCATTACAAAGTCCATGCAAGGATACAGGGGAATAAATCTGTACACGAGGCACATATTTGACTATTTATAATCATATCCAATATAACCAGTGATTAATGGACTAATGACAAGTCTGTCCTTTCAAGTACTTCTACGAATATAGCTAGATTAACTTTGACAAACCTTTATGCCAAAGTTGTTATTAAACAAAGTATGGCAAAGCCATAGAAAGTCTCCATATTTACATTCAGATTGCCTCAAAATGAGAGATACTGGTTCTCTGTGAAAACCTAACCCTTTCTCACCAAGGACTTTATAGTTCTCTATATTAACTTTTAAGCACTCATTATGCAGGTAAGAGACTAGCATTATTATAGGGCATCTTATTTCATAATGTGCTCTATAATTACTTGAGCTGTTAGCATTGACCTTGAAGCTCCCAATCCAAAGACACAAAAGAACCTCTTGTAAAATAGTACATAAGGTTCACAGAAGAAAGAAGAGTCTATGTTGGGTCTAGTTCACAGTTCTATCTCTAGTGCCCACCAACGAATACCTGGTACTCAGTAAGCTGTAAGAAGTAACAACACATAAGACTGTGTGTTCTCAGAGATTAACATCATAAAAGAGGCTTGACTAGAACTAGGAGAAAAAAGGAACAGAAAATAGGTAAGAACTTAATAGTCTGAGAAGGACAAAATGTACTCTTCTTTTCTGTGTGACAGACCTAGGGTTTAAACTTGGGGTCTGGTCTCTGTCCCTGAGCTCTTCTGGTCAAGGCTAGCACTCTACCACTTGAGCTACAGCTCCATTTCTGATTTTCTGGTTTTTTAAGAAGTTTTTATGGTTAACCTCATTTTTAAAATATATATAATTTAATGTTACCATTCAGGTGTTAGTATTCAGAGGGTTTATCCTTTTATAAGTCAGGTAGTATTTCTTTTTGGACACTGTCACCCCTTCCTTTACTGATAAAGCTATTATTTTCTTTTTGTTGGTAGTGGAGCTTGAACCCTGGACCTGGGTGCTGTCCTTGAGCTCTTCAGCTCAAGGTGAGCACTCTACCACTTGAGCCACAGCATCACTTCTGGTTTTCTGGTGGTTAATTGGAGATAAGAGTCTCATGGACTTTCCTGCAGGGGCTGGCTTCGAACCGTGATCCTCAGATCTCAGCCTCCAGAGTAGCTAGGATTAAAGGTGTGAGGAACCAGTGTCCTGCTTAATAAAGCTATTTTTTTAAGTAGCTACTTGGTGGACTTAGGCTAGCTACAAATTTATAAAGTGAAACTGGTATAGCAAGAACATTCATGGTAATGAAAGTATAAATTCAGGACAGTCTCCTTCATTGGTACCCACAGTATATACCAGGCATACAGCAGGTACTTCACAAAGTTGTTGTTTTCAAAAGCCCATTCTTAGTAGATAGTGGACAGTTTTGTAATACATTGCAAGCATATGTGAAAACAACATAAAGAAACTTAGTGAAACCTAGGGGTTAATAGAATAGGATTGTTTGGGGGGTGGGCACTAACCAGAGGAGGTGGAGCTAACAAAGGACAAATGAGGATTAACACAGTCAAAATAGATTATTTTACAGCTATGAAAACAGAACAATGAAACTCCTTGAAATTGTTCTGGGAGGGGAGGATGGGAGCAGGGAGAGTGATATGGAGAGGTTAGATTGTGTTGTAAACATGTATGGAAATGTAACAATGAAATCATCCCATAGCTAAAGTAGGCTAAGTAAAAAAAAGACCCTTGGGGCTGGGAAGGTGGCTCAGTGGTAGAGCGCTTGCCTTGCATGCCTGAGTCCCTGGGTTCGATTCCTCAGCACCACATAAGCAAAAAAGAAAAAAGCAGGAAGTGGCTCTGTGGCTCAAGTGGTAAAGCACTAGCCTTGAGCTGAAGAGCTGAGGGACAGAGCCCAGGCCCAGAGTTCAGGCCCCACGACCGGACCCTCCCCCCCCAAAAAAAAACACCTCTATTTTTACTATCAATTTTGATAAAGAAAATAGCAAGCAAAATCCACTAAGCAACTAAACACAAGTAAGAGGACACTTGGGAGAACTTTGTGCTCCACACTGAATCAAGAGCTATCAGAAAAAGCAACCATATTGCATTCTGGAGCTTTTTGCAAACTAAATCTAGCTACATAAAATTTGAGTCCTCCAAATTCTGTTGTGAACTTGGAGGTGTAAGGAACTGGTCTTAGAAACCATGCAAGAGGATGAATCTATTCCATCCTGATCAATAAATGGCAAACTAGCAGAAGAGCTACTAGGTTCTATGTGCTTATTTTTGCCTGCTAGTTTTCTACAGTGACCAGTTTTTGTAAAAAACAAAACAAAAAAATCATTTATTTACAAAAAATTACACAAAAGCCAACAAGTAGGACAACAGTTACGTTTTTCTGACTTTCCCTAAACAATAAGTGTTGTGTGCGTGACTCAATTGGCAGGGAAGTACAGCTTAACAGATGCCTTTGTCAGATGTGTACTAGTCACTGATAAGGTGCTTTCCACTGTAAACAAGCCTTTGTTAGGGCCCACAGGCTTCAGAGCTTTCACAGTGAAGTTAAGGCTTAGTGTTCCCGCAAGGCCTCAGTGCCCTGGACTAGAAGTGCCTTAGTAGTATTCCTTACACCATGTGGCCAGGTGTAGTACATTATGCATTTGCAAGAGATATGCAATTGGGTCCACTTTACTCACCTATCCATGGAGACCTTCACAGAACTTTCATTTGTATGAATTATATCTACTAGTATTTACTGTATTAGAAATTAAAAGTGAGAAATGAATAAAACAATAACATTAGAACATTCTGAGTGGTGGGTGATGTCATCATACAGTACCAGCTTCTGAAAAACACTATAGTGAAGTGAAAGGGAGAGAGGGAAGAGAAAGATCTTCATAGTATTGTTCTGAAAATTTCTCAGGCTCCCTTAACTTATCTTATTTTCTCCCCCACATGCATGTGGGTCTGTTCCTTCTGTTCTTTGATTAAGGCACAAATAGCAAGAGTCACAGGTTAACAACAAGGACAAGATGAATCTGGTCAACAAGACACACCGATCAAAGTTCACTTTTAGGCACTAAAACCTTTTAATGGACTATTCATTAGAATAGAGCATAACCAACCAACATTCCACTCATCCAGGTATTCTTAGGACCTACTAGTAACCCAATCCTTAGAAAGTTAACAAAATCCTGCTACACAATCACAATTAATAGGTCAACTGTGTGATAGGAAAGATAATAGAAAACTCTGAAGACCAGGCAGATAGTCTACAAAATTGAGCTACACAACTACTAAAACCTCTTATCAGAGAAGTTGTTTCAATTGAAGCATCTAGGACTTTTTCTCTCATGGTCTGATTGTGAGGAAGTAGCAAAACTAATAGAAAATTGAACTTCTCGACACTACCGAGTTAGATATTCACTTCTCGCCAAAGTTTACACTCATTCCTTCAGTCTCCCGAGATTTGAATCGAGTTTTTTCTACTGAAAATTGCTTCAGTTACCATACTTGTTTTCACCCTCAAAACTGAGACTAAAGTCTAATCTCACATCATTCGTCATCGTTCTTCATCAGCCACCCTTTCTTCTTTAGCCTCAAATTGCTAAGAACCCCCAACCATGTCCCAAATTTTTTAGGCTCTCTATCCTTTCTCTCCCCCACCCCATGCTCTTCCTTCCCCCCACCGGATCTATTTCATTCCAATTTTCTTTCTGACCCTTCTGGTTACTCCACCATCTTCAAAACTCTTTCTTGATCTAGGAAACCAGGACTCCCCTAATTGTGTCTGTTATCCCAGAATCTGCATATACTGCCCTCTTGAGCTCGCTCCTGACTGTCCTCCCCAAGCTGCTCTTTCTAGCCCGACCTATTCCACTCTTTGCTCTGTTATGCCTACTCTCTTGGCATCTGCTCCCTTATTTGCCCCATCTTATTCTCAGAGGCCCTTCCTGGCCATCCCTCCGTCCGGCCTTCTGTAGGTCACAGCCCCACTACCCAGGGGAATCAACCGCCACCCAGTATAAACTGCTCAGTGTGTAAACCTAGTCTGAACCGGTCTTTCAGGTTGTGAACTTTGAACCCGCTCTCCAGGCCCGGGCGGGGAGATTAATCCCAAGGGCCCCACAACTCACCTAAGAGGAGGCAGAGAAGAACGAGCCCTGAGCTCGGAACTGGGGAGAGCCGGAAGTACATCATGATTCCGAAAAGCAGGAGGCAGCAGCGGTTGCGGAGACCAGAGCAGCAATACCAGCAAAAAGGCTCGCGGGACGTGGAAGTACAGCTCCGGTGACCACTGACCACAGCGCAGCTTCAGCCCGAGTCATAAGACCAGGGGTGGGGCTCTTTTTTGCTTTCAGCCAATCACAACTCTTGAAAGCTGCGCGAGGATTGGTGATGTCGGAGGCAGTGGGCGGAGAGACCACGCCCTGGCTTTTTGGTTCACAACCACTATTACAGTACTGATGGGCGCGGACGGCACTTTCTAAAGCTTAAGACAGAAAAGGCACTTTTGAGCTAGGTAGACAGCAGGCTATTTCTGTTCCTGCTCCTTTAGTTAGGAGAGAATAATTTTGTTTGGAATTAAAAATGCGTCTCAACATAATCTATATAAAAATAACACAAAATTTGTCTCCAATCGTCCTTATTACCCACGCAGTTCATGCTATAGATGTACCTAGAAGCGAGGGGGTGGTATGGAGTCACTAAGCACTGGAGAAGAACATGGTTTTGAACTGCACCAATTTACAACACCATTTCTCAGATAGGGAAATTGAACTCAAAAAGAGGAAGTATCTTTTTAAAAAAATACAGGAAGGCTTTAAAAAAGTGAGAAACAAGGATAAAGGGACAGTTAGTAAACATCGTATGTGTGTGTGTTGCTATGTATATACAAATATTCTACAATGAGATCATATTAAATATGATATTGGTCATATTTGCTAAATGAACAGTGAACAGAGAAAACTCAAGTCATCAGATGAAGGTATTCAAACATAAAAATGGAAAATTGGAATAAAGTATTGACTCTCAAATGTTACAGTTCAAAAGAATCACCTCAAAGTTCTCAAAAACACAGTCTTACATCTCACTCCCAAGTTTATGAAATAGAAGGTTGTCAGCTGATTGCTTGTTTTGTTTTGCTTTGTTTGCAACAGGAACTCACTGTGCAGCACAAGCTGGATCTGAACACATGGTGATCATCCTGCTCAACTTCTACAATGCTGAGATTACAGGCATGCAAGCAGTACCCTGCCTGCATCAAACCTCTTATTTTCTTAAACACTTCAAGTAATTCTCATGCTATGCTCCATGTTTCACAGCTTGAGAAACACCAAACGAGCTTTAAAATCATTTGGTCCAATAGATTTTAAATCTGGGGTCTATAAATAAGCTTGTGTAAGGGTCCAGAAAGTACAAAGCCCCAGGAATCCTCAGAAATTACGTGAAGCACTTGTGTGTGTGTGCTTCTGCCAAAAATTATGCATTTAACTATTTCTCTAGATAGACACTTGTGGCTCCCCACCATTGCCCTAACTCCAACACAAATACTAAGACTCACTGATCTAACCTCACTATCATTTTCTTTTCTTTCTTTCTTTCTTTTTTTTTTTTTGTCAGTTATGGGGCTTGCTTGAACTCTGGGTCTAGGTGCTGTCCCTCAGCTCTTCAGCTCAAGGCGAGTACTCTACCACTTGAGCCACAGCGCCATTTCCAGTTTTCTAGTGGTTTATTGGAGATAAGAGTCTCACGGACTTTCCTGCCCATGCTGGCTTTGAACCGCAGTCCTCAGATCTCAGCCTCCTGAGTAGCTGGGATTACAGGTGTGAGCCACCTGTGCCCGGCTCTCACTATCATTTACTTTGATGTTATTCATTCCTAAAAGTAAGAAAACTGTAAATGTCTTCTGTCATGAGCAAAACTGAGTCACAGAAAATTGACTTGCCCAATCCAGTACCAAAATACACTGCAACATTACTCATTGTCTTTAGTAAAATGTCATTTGACTAACCCCACTATCAGCAAGGGTTGGCTAGAGCTATATCCTCGATATAGCCATCTTGAGAACTCATAATTGATTTGAATTCTCAAAAGTTGCTCCACCAATGCTTACTGGTGGGCTGTGGCCTTACTCCTCAAATTGTATGTTGTATAACTTTCGTGTTTAACTCTATGTTCTAGAAAAACCGATGAACATAGTGGCTTGCAGGTGTGGTGGTGCACAACTATAATCTCTGCACTTGGGAGGCTGAGGTAAGCCTGTGAATTACAGGCTAGCCTGTGCAACATAACCATTGTATGTCAAAAAAAGGACATGGAGAAAGTGGTCAAGGCAGAAGTCAGAAAACTGTCAATGTCAGCTGACAAGGCTAATGGAAAAAAAGTCATATACCTAGTCACTTTCCTTTATGTGACACAGCTGGAAAAAAAATATCCTGGAAATAGCCTGGGGAACTCATTCTACCAGCTCAGCACTGAGACCGTATGACCTCTAAAAGCCAGAACCTATTCTTATAGCTTCTGATTATTTATTAATTCAGCAAACATTTCCCGAGCACTTTCTATGAGAAGGGATTGGTGGAGAAAAATTAGCCATGTTCTCCACTCTAAAGAAGCTCACAGCTACTACAGGCTGTGGGCCAGTGAAAAGATGATTACTTGGGAAATGCAAACACTAAGGGAGCACATAGACAAAGTTCCTCTGATTCAACCTTGCATGATTAAGTAGTGTTTATTTATTTGGTGTTTATTATTATTATTTTAGTTTTATATCTTTTTTATTGTGAAAATACTGTACAGAGGGGTTACAATTACATGGGCAAGATAATGAGTACCTTTCTTATCAAGCATTGTAGCCTCCTCCTTTGTTTCCCCTTCCCATCCCTTCCTATCCTCCCCCCACCCTCCCAGCCAATCCTCCTTCTCTCCTCCCTCCCCACCCTCCGTGTTTATTTTATAGTGTTTAGTTTCTCCTAAAGGTGAAAGCAAGAGTCTGGCAGGAAGTGAAGGAATGTGCTAGGCAGAAAGGTAGGTATTTAATTTTCTTTGTACTTAACAAAGCTTTGTGAATGTTATTTATTCAACAGGTATTTCATTTATAGGGAGGTGTTTCTTTTTAATATAAAAGATATGAAAACTCTGAGGTCAACCTGGATATCTTGGTTTATATATGTGTAATGATCAGAGGCACAAATAGGACAAAGTGATTTTTTTCATGTCTTATAATCCAATGACAGAATAGGTTCCCAAACTCTAGTTCATCAACACAATCACCAAACTCTGGTTTGCTCTAGCCATACTAACGATACTTATTTTTATTTGATTCTTTTTGTCAATCATGGGGCTTGAACTCTGGACCTGAGCACTGTCACTGAGTTCTTCAGCCAGGGCTCTACCACTTGAGCCACAGCACCACTTCCAGTTTTCTCATGGTTAATTGGAGATAAGAGTCTCACGGACTTTCCTGCCTGGTCTGGCTTTGACCCGTGATCCTTAGATCTCAGCCTCCTGAGTAGCTAGTAGTAGGCGTGAGCCACTGGTGCCCAGCTTATTTTGTTTATTTGATCAGTCGTAGGGCTTGAACTCTGGGCCTGGTCGCTATCCCTGAGCTCTTCAACTCAAGGCAAATGCTCTACCACTTGAACTACAGCACCACTTCCAGTTTTCTAGTGGCTAATTGGAGATAAGAGTCTTTCCTGCCTACACTGGCTTTGAACCATGATTCATAGATCTCAGCCTCCTGAGTAGCTAGGTTTATAGGCCTGAGTTTTGTTCATTTATTTAATAGCATTTATTTTTCCATTCATTTACTCTCCATACCATTAAACTCATTTCCTTCTCCCAATCTCTACATTTTATTATCTTTTATATAGTTATTTCTTTTTATAACTACTATTATAGTTAATACATATTTTACAAAATAATATTATGGGGGTTGTTTAGTGTGTGTGTGTATGTGTGTGTGTGTGTGTGTGTGTGTGTGTGTGTGTGTGTGTGTGTACGCGCCAGTCCTGGGGCTTAAACTCAGGTCCTGGGTGCCATCCCCAAGCTCTTTTGCTCAAGGCTCTACTTCTGGCTGCTTTGGTATTTAACTGGAGATGAGAGTCTCATGGAGCCTGGCACTGGTAGTTCATACTTGTAATCCTAGCCATTCAGGACGCTAAGATATGAGGATCATGGTTCAAAGCCAGCCCAGGGAAGAAAGTCTATGAATCTTATCTCCAATTAGCCACCAGAAAACCAGGAGTGGTGCTGTAGCTCAAAGTAGTAGAGTGCTAGCCTTGAGCAAAAAGAGTTCAGGGATAGTGCCGACCTCCAATTCAAGCCTCACAACCAACAAAAAAAGTCTCATTGACTGTCCTGTCTACATTAGTTTCAAACTATGATTCTCAGATTTCAGCCTGCAGAGTAGCTAGGATTACAGGCATGAGTCACCAGCAGTTGGCTGAAGTAATATGTTTTGATTGATAGTATCTTACATGCATGTAACATACTTTGATATATTCATTTGATCTTCCTTTTTTTCTTTTCTTTTTTTTTCGGGTGTAGGGGGGGGTCCAGTCATGGGGCCTGAACTCTGGGCCTGGGCGCTGTCCCTCAGCTCTTCAGCTCAAGGCTAGCGCTCTACCACTTGAGCCACAGTGCCACTTCCGGTTTTTTTCTTTTTGCTTATATGATACTGAGGAATCAAACCCAGGGCCTCATGCATGCAAGGCAAGCACTCTACCACTGAGCCACCTTCCCAGCCCCTTCCTTTCTTTTCTTTTTTTTCTTTCCTTTTCTTTTTTTCCACAGCTGAGGACTGAACTCAGGACCTTGCACTTGCCAGGCAAGTGCTCTTCCACTGAGCTAAATCCTTAGCCCCTAGGGTCTTTCTTATATCATTCCATGTCTTGCCTTTAGGGAAACGTTTGCTATTTGTTCTCTACTCTTTGGCCCCAAAATCATGACCCTGCAATGCCAAAAGGATCACACTTGTAATCCTAGCTTCTTGGTAGGATCATGGTTCCAGGCTAGCCCAGGGAGAAGAGTTCATGGGAATACTTCTCAAACCATAGCTGGGCCCACTAGCACATACCTATCATCTTAGCATTGTAGGAGGCTGACATAAGGAAGATCACAATTTCAGATCAGCCTAGGCAAACAAAGCCATAAGTTTTCATCTCAGTGGAAGAAGCTGGGCATGGTGGGATGTGCCTGTCATCTTAGCTACTGACATGAAGCCTGAATAGGCGTATCATGGCTCAGACCCATGCCTTGGAAGGAAGTGAAACCCTGTCTAAAAAAGCAAAAAGAGGGTTGGGAATGTGGCTTAGTGGTAGAGT